TTTAACGGCCCATCGACGGCTGTGGTCATTTAGGGCCATGGTGATTTATTTATTCACTTTACTTTTTTAACAAACATGTGAATAGCGAAGATAAAATCAGATAAAATGGTTCATTTTAAAAGTATTCGCATTGTATGTGTAGATAATTAAAAATAATAAAAGGGGGTTAAAATAATAAAAGAGATAACGAATAGATGATATGGAATATGCGATATATATATAACGTCAAAAAGGATAAGGTGGGTTAAAAGACATCAGAGTCTATAAAATAGACCGATGTCTTTCAAATAGTTAAATAATGCCTTCGAATCCACGGAACTGAAAAGTGTTTTCATATCCGGGACTCGGAAGTAGTTATCACGAATGTGTTTAAAATCGGAACATTCTATTAAAAAATGCTCCACTGTAAATGGAGTGTCACATGCGTGGCATGAAGGTATATCTTCTCGTTTTAAAAGGTACGAATGAGTAGGATATGTGTGCCCAGTGCGGAGCCGAGCGAGGACAACTTCCTCTCTACGATCTTTCCGACTGGGAATAGATGTTTTAAGTTTCGGTTGTATCTTAAAAAGTTTGTTGTTGGTCTCCAGAGACCAGCGTTTCTGCCATTCATTTTGAATGGCTGTACGAATAGTAGGTTTAAAATCTGTGTATGGTAGTTTGATATTTGTTTGTTCGAGATTCAATGCATTTTTTGCTTCCCTGTCAGCAAATTCGTTGCCTTTTATTCCGACATGGCTCGGAATCCATAGTAAAGTTATTTTTAGACTTTTTTAATATACGAGATATTCGAAGAGCAAGTTGTTGCAAATTGATATTGTGCTACATGTCCATTGTATATCTTTGTAATGAGTGAAGTGTATAAGTATCTGTAATTACAAAATGTATTATACAATTGCAAGGTAATTCATTTATGTTGATGGAATCGATGACTACGCACGAATTTATAAATCGGAGAACTATCATACTAGTGTTTGTCGATGTATTCACTCTACTAAAATCTACCACTGTTACAGTTGTATTTCATAAAAAAAAATCAATTTCTAAGTCGTAGATATTTTTTCAAACCTAAGTAAGAAGAACGAGACAAAAATGTTATATTTGCTTAACTGAACCTACAGAAAATTGAAGTGTCGCTTCTATTTGTCATTCACAAAAGTGTTTGAAAATACTTTTTGTTGGTGGTTTGGTGCTGTTCTCTGATCAGTCATGCCAAAACTTAGGACAGGAATATAATTCATCAGTTCATCAGGCATAGTCCTGAAAGTGTTTTATGTTATTTAAAGGGGCTGGTCGGGGAAAAAATGTCATATTTGCTAAAATGGCATACACATGTTTAAAATACTTTCTTATGAAATAAACCGATTCAATTTTTGCTGAAATTCACTCCCTAAGAGTAAAAATTATAATTATATTAAAGAAATCCTAAATTGTCACCTGACAGTCTAAAACCCTCAATTGACCCAGATCAGTGATGTAATTTTACCGCATTCGCGTTATCAACACGGCCAAATGTAAACATCGCGGCGAAAAAAAAAGATGCATGCAAAAGTCATGACAGGCACGAGGTATCAAAACCGTTATATGTAACAACAACATATAGGTAGGAATACTACACTTGCATCATACATGACCCTTGAAAACAATTATTTACGTATAGTATTGCTGTCTTGTTCGCTAGGTTAGTCCGACATGGCTGATAGACGGCGTGCTATTGTGGTTATAATCACTGCCTCACTTTCGAAACAACCACGTGACATATATAAATAGATCTGCTCTAAATTTACGCGGGTCTTCCCCGATATTTTAGTGGTCAAAACTGGACATTGCAAGCAGAACTCGACCATCATATTGCCATGGTATAACTTTTGGAAGGCCAAAGAACGCATTTAGACTCATTTATTTTGTATTTTTTCCCCGACCAGCCCCTTTAAAACGAACAAGTTTGTGTCGTGTAAACTAAATACCCTTTTATCATACGTATACTCTAGGTAGTAGAAATGTCACTTTAGATTATTTCTCTACAATTATTATATGATTGCCTTAATTTGTATTGCACGGTGTATCATATATTCAAATGCATGCCATGTATACATATTATGTAATGAATGATAAAATAAGTTTTGTATTTACCTCAAACGAAAAAGAAGTAGATCCAGATACAAGGAATGATGGATTGGTTGATTTTGAGATAATCAATCATTTAAGTGAATAACCTTTCCCATTTTCATGTATGTATTTACTTGATTTATTTTAATAACGAATTATTTGATATTTGGATTGAATAAAATCTGTAATTTGTGCCTAAATCTAGCAACGTTAGGAGTCCCTTCTTTTTTCTTCCGGTATTTCTAGCCACGTGTATGCCTACTACTAGAGTTATTGTGAAGCAATATGATGTAGCTTTGTTTTTGTATAAATCATAGATATTTATATCAGTCAAACAAAAGACTTTCAGGACTTAAATAAACGTTCAATAAAGATAGTGTTTATACAAGTAAGATTGATTTCCGGATTCTTCTTTGAAAAATCAAGAATATACCTGCTATAGTTATTGAACATTTAAGCTTCCAAAATGTCAACAAATTATACAATAAAAAGAAAAAAATATATACGTAAACATTTTTATTGACATGTTCATTCGTGACATTTAAAGTGTCTGTACAAGAGTATCACAATCTCTCACTTTTTATCAAAACATGCATCCAATATACATTGTTGTAATATTCATCTCTTTCGTACCGATGAAAACAGCTTTCATTTTAGTCGCTGCACTGCAACTTTAAATATTATTTAAAAACTATAGTCACGCTGAAAATCTTCTTCTCACAATTCGTATAGCACTGACTGCTCTCTTTGAAAGGAATTTAACTTGTTTTAAATTCAAACACATTAAAATTCTGCACCTAGTCACAAGAAAAAGCTGGACACAACCATTCAAACTCATTTTTTTGAATATTTTTTCTCCACATGTGGCCAATATTATTGGAATCGACTATCTTTCCAGATTGCCGACTACTGGTAAAAAAATATTTTGAAAAATCTGTCAAAATGAAACAAAACTTTAACTTAATGATATGTAACGACGACGTTCTTTACGTTTGCTACTTTAACAAATTTTATAAAAAAAAAACGTGTTCATTAAAGAAAAATAAACCAACACTAATGACAATATACATTACCAATGTCCGAACTAAAATTGCCTTATCACACGGTGATATATTAAACATTGTTGGTGATTTTACGACAGTATAGTAGAACCTTCGTTATCAGATATTTGGCAAGTCTTCTATAAATATAAAACATGTGCTAGTTTACATTTGATAAATGTTCCCTTTTCAAATCATACAAACACGCAAATCAACAAAAACAAAACAAGAAGAACACAACATTGAAAAAGTACATGACAATGCGTTTCTTAAAACAATTTTGCATCAGTTGAATTTCGGCAATGCGAAGGCTAAAATCTAAAATATATGCATGCATTAGATGCGGATTTCTGTGGATGAAATACTGATTATTTCTTTCACGTTTATTATAAGTTGAATAAAATGCCATTTTTAAATGAAGTCTACACAAATACCTTCAGAACAGACATGTAGTCAACTTTCATTTTGTCCTGATTATGTACAAGTAAAATTAGGACATACCAAATACATTGAAGTTGGCAGGCCATGTTTTCTATTTAAGGATTGATTGGAATCATTGGAAAAATCACCTGCGATTATATTTGTTGTTGATTCATGAAAGATTGTAATCATTTTTGGTAGCCTAATTATCGCTAAAAAACGTATGTAGATTTCAATGCATATTTTTTTGTCTACTTTTAATAATAATGAACGAAAATACTCATTTACATTTGCATAGCATGCATATCCTGCTAAAATAATTAATATGCACAAAAAAACCCCACCAACAACTGCACAACCGATAATAGAAGAATCATCATAGCGATTGCTATGTAACGCTTATGTGTTGTCACAGTTACAAATGTTATCCAATATATTGTATTGTAATTTTTCATGATAGAATATAAAACTCGACCGATGGTATTCCAGGATTTATCATAAAATAACGAAAAATCAATTATATCTATGTCTATAATACATATGTATTTCTATTCATATCAAAACTTCTCCCAAACAAACCATCTTTGTGACTATTTTGACCACATCGAAACTGTTATTTCGAGTTTGTAGCATTACAATGAATCCAGGTTAACACAGCAAACACTTAAAAAACTCTTTCTACATAAATGTACTTTGTCCTGTGAGAACATATGATAACCATCAATAACATTGATACATTGAATTATACATACATTCGCATGGATTACACATATATTTCTTAATGATTATTCATTCTAAATTCTATTTAGAATTAACATGCACACAAGTTTGCTATTCCACTTTGCACACTTACTACATTCCTGGCAGCTCTAAGTCTTTAATGCATACATTTTATGTATTTTTTTGCTATACAATTTTTCATGATGTAGTTATTGAAAAGAAAAAAATATATACAAGATTCACAAACTACACTTTGCTAAAACATGACATAATAAAGTGAACAAAACAAAAGACGCAGTATGAATCTATCACACTCAAATATACCATATGCATAATAACGAAAAACAAACAGATCTGTATAAAATGAAGCCTATTAGGAATGAGAGATCAAAAAAATTCTCTTGAGTTATTTGCATTCGGTTAAAAACTATTGCAATGTCAAAACCACGGCACACACTTTACAATCTTCTGCGTGAATTCGGTTCACGGTATACAGCCACTATTATCATCGATTTCACCGTACTATTGGTAAAAAACAGTTATTGGTGAAAAACAGTTATTTGTCAATTTTCATAAAGACTATGGAATGTCCGGGATGCACTTTTTCGATATGTGGAGCAACCTCTCCCATACCGAGAGGTACAACATCTGGACAATACGGGCATTTAAATACCCGCATTAGCCCTAAGCCTACCATGTTTCGTCCATCCTTACTTAAAGTAGGTTGAATTGGTGCGGCCACTTCCTTAGTGGGTAAAACGTTTGGCACAGCCTGGTTTATAGCACTGCGTGGAGTGTAAGGCCTCGGCACACCCCTTGAATGTCTCGGGGTCCGAGTATACGGAGGAGGCCTATTCATCAAAGCCCGATGTTGTCTTGGAGCTCTTGCCATGGGTATTCTGTTCATCTGTTGTTGCAGCTGCATCTGTTGGCGGAATCTCGCCTGAAATGCGAGCGGCGACATGTTCCGCATCACCATAGGTGTCATCTGCTGTTGAACAACCTGAGGACGAATTTGTTGAGCAGCAGGACGAAGATTGAAAATTTGGAATGCATCCGGTGGAAGATCATCTCCCTCATCAATATTGTTCTTCGGTTGACTAGGAGGGGCAGGAGATTTGCTTAAGTCTAAAGGAGCATATCCATCTCCTTTCCTGTTGACCGGAGCCATAGGGCCAGGACTGTGGTTAAAGTCTTGGTAAGGTGACACTCTCAAGTTGCCAGCTGGGCGTTGCTGTTGAATATGTAATGGTACTGATGGGACACGAAGAACAGGTCGTGCAGTCGACATCTGACTAGCTGAGCTTGCTACGACTTTTCTTTCAAGTGAAGGAACAACATTGGCGGTTGACAGATGTTGACTCTGTTGATGAGAAATAACTCTTTGATTGACATGCGAATAGGATGGACTTCCAACAGTATTTCCTGATGTTTGACTAGCGTATGCTTTCATTACATTCCCTTGATTTTGCATGCGTGATGCATTTCCATCAGAGGGGAAACGGAGCAAAGGTGGCGGAGCTCTCATCAAAGGAGGAGGTACAGTGGAAGTTTGAGCCATTTTTGGAAGTGCTGACCCATGCCGATTACGTGGAATATTAAACTGTTGATAATTTTGATGTTCAAATATTTCCTTTTCTGAGTGTTGTGACTGTGGTGGAATATGATGTGGTGTTGATTTGCGAAGTGATGATTTACTCTGTTGGAAATGTGCTGGTGGCGGATTTACAAACTGCGAAGGCATCCTCATGCGTGCTATTGGTGCTTTTGGGATGTTAGGTTGCATCGGTTTTGGTGGAGAAGTCATTTCGTGGACAAGTTTGTGGGACTCGCCGACAACAATCACTTCATCCTCCGTTTCATTAATCCCCTTTGAAGGAGCCTTGGCTCCCTGTTGAGACTTTTGCGCATGAGTAGGTCGACTCGGTTTCTCTTTCACCAATGATTGCACTCGTGTGAATAAATTTTCCTCTATGGCAAGCGAAAGCATTATATCTTCAGTGCATTTTTTGTGTTCGCTCTTAATGTGATGGAACACCTGAGCTTCTGTCTTTGCTTTAAAAATTTTACAATAAGGACACACATACACAAATACCTCATGATGAGCTTTGTCAAGATGGTCGTAAATAAAGTTCAGTGATGGCATATGTTTCTGACATTTCAAACATTTGTAGATGTCTTTTTCCACAACAAACCTATCCCCGACCTTCTTTGAATCTGCATCAACAGCTACTTGGATAGTCCTAAGATGCTTCTTGGCAGCGCTTGACAGAGCTACCGGAGGACTTTTCTGATCAGGTGTTTGGTGGTACTGTTTGATATGGCGATGGATCTCGGGTTCGTTGGAACCTTCATATTGTCTACAGTATGGACATAGAAATAACCTCTGTATATCTTTGTGTGTCACGCGTAAATGCTCGACCATAGCAGACAGAATGGGGGCATGAACGTTGCACTTTTCACACTTGTAAGTTGTCCCAAAACTATCTTGCTTGTCACTTTTCTTGGCCTCTTGCTGTTGTTGTTTTTGCAAGATGCGTTGCTGTTTTTGACGCTGTTCATATTGCATCTGAAGCAGAATATGTTGTGGATCTGTTTGTGGTGGATTTTGGGGCATATGCAGTTGTCCGCATTCCTTAAGTGGGTTACTGTTTAGAACAGCTTCGTGTTCAACAGCTTGAACGTTTTGAGATTTTTCTTGTGTTTGCTCCGACTGCTGATTCCATGTGTTTGCCAGGTCAGACAAACTCACAACATCTACTATCTTTAATCCCATGTCATTATTGTCAACAACAGCAGGTTCCTGTTGGAAAATGAGAGGTTGTTGGATGCCCAGTCCTGTCGCCACAAGTGGCACGCTGCAAGTAGAAAATAAAAGACATCATTACCAATTAGTTCAAAATTAATTAAGAAACAAACAAAAGGAAACAATCGTTTAAATTAAAACATGTATTTCAGAAAACTTATTTGGAAAAAAGTATACTATCAATTACACAAAAGTATCCTTATCCATACAATCTAAAACTAAACTGCTTTACCTTTTTGGCCCTGGAATGGTCTGCATGGCTGCGTAGACTATTGGGATTCCTTGGATACCGGTATTTTGATTTGCGGTCCGTTTTATACCGGACTGGTAGGATTTACCCAATTCTTCAATGCCATCAAGTTCTTCCTTTCTTGAAGAATCATCCATTTCCGCTGTCGTACTATCAGCCTCGGCACTAGTTTTCTGGACATGTGGTCTACCATGGGATTCGTGTTGATCGGTAGTGAACAAGTCATTCATCCTGTCAAAGATATTTCCTTTGTCAGCATTGCCTGCGTTCTGCTGGTTTTTTGTAACATCATAGAATTCAGGCAGGCACTTGTAAGTAACAGGTTGATTCGGATGAGCTTTTGCAAAATGATTTGGTATTCCTTCTTTGGAGCCTGGTATTGACATATTGCACAAAGTACAAGTATACTGGATATCGTTACTATGGAATGAGTGAATATGGTTCAAAATGTCCTGTTGACTTGGTGCAGAAAAATCACAGTGACTGCAGCAATAGCAACCTGTTGTACCTGAAGAAGTCTTCAACGGCGCTACAGTATCTGGTAATGAATCAATGACTGTTGTTTCTCTAGATGGTGATTGCAGAGAATTTGGTGGAGTTTGTTCCATTTCTTTGTAGAACAAGCCTTCATCTACTTTTTCTGCAGCTTCCATTCTCGCGTCAAGATCTGGATGTACACTGCGCATGTGAAGAAATGTGAGTCCTCGTGACTGGAATACTTCATTACAATGCACACACCGGAACGGAATGTTCTTCATATGTACATAAATATGTGACTCCATGACACGTTTGGTTTCTGATACAAATCCACATGAATTGTGTGTGCACTGAAAGACTATCGTATTATCTTGACTATTGTTGACAGGTTGCGTTTGTTTTGAAAGTGCATTTTCCTCGTCGGTAATTGTTTCGAAAGAAAACGTATGATTGTTGGTTTTAGAATTCTTTTGCTTTCTGCTTGCTTTAACTTTGTGTTCATAGCCTTGATTATGATAAAACTCCACATAGCTTTTTTCAAAACTGCTTTTCCCATTATCAGTTTTCTTAGCAGCTGTACCAGCAGAATCGGTTCCCTCAAGAAATAAACCCGTATTAGGTAATCCTTTTTCAGACGGCATTCCTTTCCTTGCTGTACGTCGCTTTTTGACGGTAAACTTCATACCCTTCTTTGACCGTGGTTTTGGCTTTGCTATTATGTTTTGTTTGATTTTCAGGCGAAGTGGTGGAACTGTTTGTGTCTCGTCTCCATTGAAAAAAGGATTGGACACGATTTCTGCTGTCAATTGTGCACTATATGTGACGCATCGTGCCTGTTTTCTTGCAGATGGCTTTCTCTTTTTCTTGGCCGGTTTGTTTTCATCTACTTTGTTGCTACTTTTACCGTCATCGTCGCTCTTTAGTAACACATCTTCAAACTGTTTTGGTTCCTCGTCGGATAGTTTTGGCACTACTTCAGTTTCTGCTTCATGTGTTTCTTCATGGATGCTACTTTCTGTACTTTCTTCTGAAAGAGTTGTTTCTGTGTCTGCAATAGTTTCCCATTCCTCCATCACAGAACCAGACTCTACACTGTATGAGCTGTTGGTCATTTTCAGATATTTAACAAAGTCTATTAGTACAACCGAACATGCCTTACACTCCGCATGTTCAGAAACAATACTTTTCTGTTCACGCTCTTCATCAATTTGTACTGCATTTTTTATATCTTCAGGTTTTTCTTCCGGGACTTTCACCTCATCATTATCTTCTTCTTTTTCAAGGTTTTCTTCTGTAATATGTTCTACTACTTTAGCTTTCTCTTCTTTTTTTCGCTCCTCTTTGCATTTCTCCATGTTTTCGTTTTCTATTTTCTTTATCTTTTCTCTCATCTTCTTCTGCTTTTCTTCACGTTTCATTGCCTTCTGAGTTTGCTCCAATATGTACTGTCTTTCCTCCTGACTCTGACGCATAGCAATTATTTCAAGCGGTGACCTTGATGCCTTTTGTCTTAACTGGAATTCTCGTTTAACGCCAAGTTTCTTTTCACTGTCAACTTTCGCATCTGTGCGATCATCATCTGACAAAGGACTCAATTTTCCAGTTTTTCCATCAGAATCATCCTTCTTCTTGCAGGAATCTTCGGTATACTGTGGTACAGAATTGTACATGTCAACCTCTTTACTCTCTAATGAAATATCCAAGTTTTCGTTTCGGTCTACTTCTTTACAGTTGGTTTCGTGCTCTTCAGTTGCAGAGGTTTCCATAGGAAAGACTTCTGATTCAGTTTTAGTATCATCAACTATCTCTTGGTCTCTCACTGTTATTTTTAGAGATTCACAGCTCTCCCCCACGACTGTCTTTGTTTGATTCAATTCAATACTAGCACTTTCAGTTTCAATTTCCTTTAGGTTGCTTGCTAATGTTGTCCGATTTGAAGGATCATCCATATCCGCATGTTTTTTCATTTGATCGATTCTATTGGCACACGGAGCCAAATGTTGGTCATCAATTGCAGATTGCTTGCACGTGTTATGAACGATGTCCTTCGCATCTGAAGACGTAATTTGCTGTTCTTGTTCATTTTTTTCAGAAACAGGAGAACTCTCACATGTTGGTGATTGAATAACAGTCACAGAAACTAACACAGTGTCTTCTTGTGTTGAGATATCGGTTTCCGTAGCGGTAGCATTGGTTTCTGAATCTTGAGTAGCTTTGTTTAATTCACAGTTTGAGATAATACTTTCAGTCAATGATGCATCTTTCACCTTTTTTTCCTTGATCAGTAAATTATCCTTATCTGAAACACAGTCTTTAATAAATGAATCTGCATCCGACAAACCACTATCTTCGACGCATTTCACAGAAGCTACATATTCAACAGAATTCAAAGATTCCTCGGTTTTTGAGGTGATATCAGACTTTGTGACTGTTGTTTCTGTTTTTGAAATGTCCTCCTCTGGAGGAACTACATTTTCCTTCGTATCAATCGATAAATGCATTGATTTAACAACACTTTCAACAGAAGACTTATTTTCAATGTCCAATGGAACTTCTTGTTTGAAAGTAGATTGAATGTCTTTGTCACAAGTGTATTTCTCATTAGTAGAACTTACTTCATCCTTAAACAGAATATCTGCTTTCAAATTGCTCTCATGCCCATGTAGAGAATCATTGGAAATTAATTTCTGTGGCAGATCAACACTTTTCCGCATGAAAACTAATCCTCCTGGTCCAATGATTTGAAGTCCTGTTCTTGGAATAGCCACATCGTTTCTCTTCCGTAGCATATTTCGTGCTCGCTCTTGAGCACATTTCGGACCTAACAATTTTGTTTTTTTTCCAATTTTGATTGGCTCAGAGGAGGAAACTATGGGCTTTACTCTTGGTGGTCTACCACGTTTCTTTGGTTGTGCTGGAACAATGTTAATATTTTGCAATGCTGTATTCGGATCATTTGTTGATGATACAGGTACAATATTTGTCATTGACGGTAAAGTGTTTTTGTCGTCGGTCAGAATTGATTTCTTACCACCCGGTTTCTTAGACGTGTCTGATGTAACTTTTGTGATACCTGTTACACTGGTACATTCTTCTTCTGAGTCATCCAATTTTGTCAAGTTCTTTTGAATGCCTTCTGAATAGTCACTATCTATATCGGATTGATGGTCCTCGTCTTGTCGAAGTTTCTTCCTAAGTAAGTTTTCATCCAACAACTCAAATCCTCCACTCAAAGTTCTTTTTCTTGGTTTTCGATGTGCCTGAACTAGACTTGCTTTCATTCCTTTGCTCTTCCTTGTCATAAGACTGTCTTGACTTCTCAACAACTTAGCAGGTCCCAACATAATACCTGCCCTATTCATTTGTTTCATTTTCTTTTTTACAGACACAGAGCTAACACTAGAGCCCACACTTTCGGTTTCCACTTCAGAGTCTACTCTACTATCAGAATCTGCGGAATCATCCAACGATGTGCTGTCTACATTTTTCTTAATAAAGTTTCCAAGTAGGGATTTTTTATACAGTTTTTGGTTGAGATTTGTCCAAGACTGCACTTTATCCACACTTTCTGCTGTTTTCTTATTTTTAACAGAACCATCGAGCAATGAATCTATTATTGGTTCGGTCTTTTTCTTTGGTGGCCTTCCCCGTTTGCGTGGCACAGCTACAGGTGCACATGCGGACTCAGCCAAATCACTTGACAATTCATCTTTTCCTTTTCCTGTCTTTTTTGTTACACTTTTGTTTTCCTGTTGATGAATCCCAACTTTTTGTGGTAATCTGCTCTCGTTAGTCACTGACGCTGTGTCCCCATTAATGACTGTGTTAGTAGATTCATCACTGTCTGCTGTGTTTTTCCCTCTTGTATTTGAAAAAGTACAGGAAGATGGAACTTTACTTGAAGAATATTTCTTTCGCAAAACAGCCTTCACAAGTGATGTCCTTGCATCATATTTCAAGGTCGTTCCTTGCTTACCTGCATCAGCTATTTTCTTGCCAATGCCTCTAGCTAATTTCACCCCAGTCTGGTTGAACTTCCATTTTACAGGAGCACCAGTCTCATCCCGACTTAGATTGTCCAGGAAATTGACAATCTGTCTGTACCCAGTGGAGGATTTAGCTTTGCTCCTGGTGATCAGCTTAGCCGGGATCTTTGGAATGGCCTGAAAAGAGAGTATACATTAATTAAGCAAACGTCTTTTAAGTTGATAGTTTTTTTATTTAAATTATTGTCAAATTATTTTCAGCTTTTTCCTGTAGAATAAACAATCATTATTTATATCTTATTATTTGAAGACTCTTCAAGTAGAACTGTAAAACAAATTGTATAATTAATGCATGCAAATTGTAAATACTTCCTGGTTTTTTTTTATTGGGAATATAATCTAAAGTAAAATAATTGTATTATTCAAACATGTCATGATTTGTGAGAAAAATATATTGATGATTATCATTGTAGACAAAATAGCTTCAGTATTTCCCACAAGAATGTCTAAAGAAATAAGGTAACTATACCCTACTCAGTAAAAAGAGGGTCCCCTGAAACTCTAAGTGGTAAAAAAGAAATATATATTCACTTATTTTTGAAAGTCATTCTGTACTTGGCTTTATCTTATTGAAATACTTGAATTGTGAAAGTGTATACATGTTGCATAGGTGAAGATGGAAATTGAACATTGTATTTCATAGTATGGGTAGTGTAAATATCTTTTAAAAGTTATCATTTGGTATGGTGAATTTACCAAATCTACCATAAGATGTGACTAGTACTGTTTGTTGGATATGATGTTTGCCAGTTCAGTTTTTTCCTCCGTTAGCTTTAACATTGCACTGATATGCCATTCTTTTGAAGCAAAAATTCTTGTCAAATGTTAAAGAATAATCTCGCGTGTCAGTAAAGTAAATGTCTCTGTAAAAAACTTCAAGAAATAGTGCAAATTATTTCTAAACATTTCCTTCGGGTTAGTAAGTATGGATTAAGAAAAAGAACCAATGAGTGTTTCTATGTGACGTTTCAATGACTAGTACAGTATGTCACCTTCATCAGACAAATGACCAGTGAAGCGTATGAATCAATATTGATTTTGCTAGGCTGTGTGCGTATGTACATTTAGTTGTTATATATGTACCAAAATCAAATGACTTTATTCAGCTTCACTTCCTTTAACATAACATGGTGAAGATATTTGAGATACACGGCTACAAATCCTGCCCCCCCCCCCATCTGATCCCCTTCTTTCGGCACTAGAACATCAAGTTGCATTCAAAATTGTATATAGTATTTATAGAAATATTGTCAATTTACAGATGAAAAAACAATGCTGCACAGATTTGGATTAAAAGGTATAGTTACAGTTTTCAAAACATACAGTCTGATAATCCATCCCACATGATCAGAACATTCATTTAATAGCACCATTTGTTGTGTCCTAATTAAATCTTCTTTCTAATTGTAAATTACTGTTTATCTGTATCCCAATGGTTTGGTTTGGCTTTATTGGGTAAGCATCAATAACAGCTAAGGTTATTTGGGACTTGTCTCCATGTGGGTAATTTATGCATATTGTGTAGGAGGGAGTTAATTAGTGTATTTGCCTCCCTGTGATAGATTTAGATACTTCTGATACTTTCAACATACAACTTACTAGATATTTTTTAAATGTCAGTTGCTAAACTTAACAAACTATCCTTATGAATTCATACATATACATGTAGTGTTTTAATTTTTCAGGGGTCACAACTGTAATTTTCTTCTTGGAACAAATATGTGGGTTGGCATGTTGTCCAAGGTTAGTTTTGTCCATGTTATCTCTAGCTATTTCAGTTGGGTACAACACCAGACTATATTCTGTCCGCTTTTGCTACCCACAGTATTTGGTCTGTGTTAACTCAATACTAATCTAGTTCACTGAAGCTTCCATTTGCAAGTGCTTGGTCATCTGAACTTCATAAATCTAGTTAATTGTAGTTTTTACAAAAGATTTATACTGCATCAAGCCCTTGTGAGTGATAAACAGGTGTAAACATCTGTTAATCATCCATACATGGAGCTACAGTATGAAGTGTTGTATCAATCAATTCAATCTCAATTAAAATTCAGTTATAGATCATGACATCAATAAGGGATGAGTTCATTTTACTATTCCTTTGTAGAATCTAGAATTGAAAAAACCACCATATCAACAGAACTACGTTAGAGAGTATGTACACAATATCCAAATAATGTTTACATGTCTACATCTTCTTACTCGAGATGCTGATGCTGATATAGTAGGTATGCCTTCAGCATCATTACACTACACTCCTATGTTAAAAAAAAGTTTTTTGTTAATATTCACTTGTTTGCAATTTCCTGACATTATTTGAGAGCGGAGCTGAATAAACAGAGGTAAGAATTGTAAGAGAAGTTAAATGTTCTGTTTACAATCTCATCAGCATGTTGAAAACATGGATTGAAATTGAAATATGTAACTTTATTTTGACTACAGATCTAGAAGTGTTAGGATACCTACCTATTTGTGTACTATAGAAATATAGGATTTTCTCTGTGTAACTTTCACTTTTTTGTAGAAAAAAATAACAGAAAAATAACAAGAGGCCCATGGGCCTTAACAGTCACCTGAGTCCTACAGTATTTATTTTCATTGTTAAATATGTACCAATTTGAGTAAAAAATAGTTAAGTATAATGTTAACTTAACTTTGTCAGGACCATGAGCTGATCATTCCTAGACCGATTTTAAGTGAGATCGGCCTATTAGAACTTGTTTTTAAGTTTGAAATAGGTATTTACAAAATAGCGGCCATGGCAGCCAAATTGTATTTCTGATTGACCCGAAAAATAACAACACTTTGTCAGGACCATGAGGCGATCATTCCTACCAACTTTCAGTTCAATCGGCCCAGCAGAACTTGACTTTAAGTTTGAAATGTAAAATGTTAACGGACGACGACGGACGAAAACGGATAGCAATAGGTCACTTGAGCTAAAGCTCAGGTGACCTAAAAATAGAACAGATCTACTCAGATGTAGAAATCAATGTTCCCATACTCTTCACTAAATATGATCAGTCATTCACATATCTTGTACACAATGTCTTAACTTCAAAAGTAATCAAGTATGACTTTCGACCTTTTAAACTTGATTGATCTAAAATCTTTTCAGATATAAAACTTGATGTTACCATACTAGGGTGTAAATGTAAACTAAAACTGGTAAGGGGCTCCAAAAATATATTTTTAGAAATATTTTACTTCAAAAGTGGTCGTGTGACCTTTGGCAAACTCATCAGGAGTGAAACTTAGTTACCATACTACTATGGTGTAAATATATATTGGATGTATGTAATGCAAACACTTAGATCATCAGTTAATATGATACAAATACCAATTGAACTGACAATGCTGAAATATTTTGCCAAATATTACAGACTTTTATTTGATTTTGATGAAACCATTTAGGAATAATCCATCAATTAATCTTTGAAAAATTGCAAGCAAAACAGGATCTTAATTAGATACAGCACCAGAACAAAAATCCAAGGGAATGTGAATTTGAATCCTACAAACAGATATGATGTTTTTTACATGTAAATAAGACAGATATCTGAAAATATTTCATGAATGAAAAAAAAAGTTTCCAAAGTGACACCGTGTTACACACTATGTGATCTTTACAGGTGTTACACTTTGATGTTTCCATGGTGACTGTCAATCTTTGATGCTTACATGGTGACTGTCAATCTTTGATGTGTACATGGTGCCTGTGTCACACTAATGTTTACATGGTGACTGTGTAACACTTTGATGTTAACATGGTAACTGTGTCACACTTTGATGTTTATGTGGTGACTGTGTCGCACTATGATGTGTACATGATGCCTGTGTCACACTGATGTTTACATGGTGACTGTGTAACACTTTGATGTTAACATTGTAACTGTGTCACACTTTGATGTTTATGTGGTGACTGTGGCGCACTATGATGTGTACATGATGCCTGTGTCACACTGATGTTTACATGGTGACTGTGTAACCCTTTGATGTTTACATGGTAACTGTGTCACACTTTGATGTTTATGTGGTGACTGTGGCGCACTATGATGTGTACATGATGCCTGTGTTACACTGATGTTTACATGGTGACTGTGTAACACTATGATGTTAACATGTTGCCTGTGTCACACTGATGTTTACATGGTGACTGTGTAACACTTTGATGTTTACATGGTAACTGTGTCACACTATGTTTACATAGTGCCTGTGTCACTCTTTGATGTTTACATGGTAACTGTGTCACACTTTGATGTTAACATGGTGACTGTGTCACACTGATGTTTACATGGTAACTGTATCACACTATGCTGTTTACATGGTGCCTGTGTCACACTTTTGATGTTTAAATGGTGCCTGTGTCACACTTTTGATGTTAACATGGTGACTGTGTCAAACTTTGATGTTAACATGGTGCCTGTGTCACACTTTGATGTTAACATGCTGACTCTGTCACATTTTGTATTTTACATGGTGACATTCTGTGTCACACTGATGATAACATTATTACAGTCTGTGTCACTGTGATGTTTACGAGTTAAAGTAGGTGTTACACCTATGTTTATATGGTGACAGTATGTATCACACTGATGTTTCCATGGCAAGTCTTTGTCCCACTGATTATTACATGATGAAAGTTTGTGTCACAGCAACAGTCTGTCACACTGGTGTTCACATGGCAAGTCTATGTCACACTGGTGTTTACATGGTGACAGTCTGTGTCACACTGGTGTATTCATGGTGACAGTTTGCGTCACATTGATGTTTAGATGGTGAAAGACTAGTCCATACTATGATGTTTACATAGTGACAGTCTTTGTCACACTGTTTAGATATCGATGCTGACTATGTCGCACTGAATTTTCCATGGCAACAGTATAAGTGCATGTGCCTCACTGTGGTGTTAATATGTTGACAGTCTGATATCCTTGGAAAGTACAAGATTAAGGTACTTCATATATAGAGCAGATGTATGTTCCTGACTCAGTGGTGATAGGACAAATATGCCTAATGGCAACTATCTGTTTCCTGTTTTTCAGGTGTCGTCCCTGTGAGGTAAAATCTTTGAAGAAAGCTTGGTAATAGTTACTATGGTTGACATCTCATTATGC